GTTCCTTTCAACTTATTAATGTTACATGTATCCATCATTTCTTGCAATATTGAAATTTATGTGGTTGGTTGATACTATGTTTCAAATAGTTTTGTGTTATTTTAATAACAATTCCATGTCTTATCAGATATCTTTTACTTTGATTCATTCATTAAAATCTTTAATCAGACCACATTTAAGACCACATCTTGAGCATGCTTCTGTAGTTTGGGCACCCCATGCAGAAGTAAATATAGATTTAATTGAAAAGGTACAACAAAGGTTTTTAAGATATCTATATGTTAGAAAATATAATTCTTATCCATACTTGGTGTCTTACCGAAGTATGCTTGAAACTTTCAAGTTTATAACACTGTACATTATACATTATATTGTGAATAACTTAAAATACAAAGACTTATTCTTGATCAACTACATAAAATTCTTGGTACCTAAGATTATCTTAAGGTTAAGTCATAGAGGACTTTTTTTTTATTTGTGAGACAGATTGCTTACCCATAAACTACATGATGAGGCAGTGAAATATAATACTAAAAAAAATAGCAACATAGATATCTTCAACACCAACATCAAAGCAATTAATTCTATAGTTTATTCGTCTTCCGGGTTTGGACCGTGTCATTTGTGAGTGACCCAAAAGTGGGTTCATCTCGACGTTTCGCTACAATTGTATGTAGCTTCTTCAGGAGAACAAAAAGAAAAAAGAAAGAAAGAAGAAAACAAAAGAACAGGAAGATGGGTAGTTAGCAACGGTAACTCAGTTACTCAACGCAACCAGAGGCGAATACTAACTACCAAGATGGGCATTTGGTCACAGTAACTCAACTACTCAACGCAGCCAGAGGTGAAAACCAAATGCCAGGACAGGGATTCACGTCCAACAGCTCAGAACACTAACGCGTCGAGAGGCGGGGAGTGAGAGCAGGCCTCTCGACGCGTTAGTGTTCTGAGCTGTTGGACGTGAATCCCTGTCCTGGCATTTGGTTTTCACCTCTGGCTGCGTTGAGTAGTTGAGTTACTGTGACCAAATGCCCATCTTGGTAGTTAGTATTCGCCTCTGGTTGCGTTGAGTAACTGAGTTACCGTTGCTAACTACCCATCTTCCTGTTCTTTTGTTTTCTTCTTTCTTTCTTTTTTCTTTTTGTTCTCCTGAAGAAGCTACATACAATTGTAGCGAAACGTCGAGATGAACCCACTTTTGGGTCACTCACAAATGACACGGTCCAAACCCGGAAGACGAATAAACTATAATTCTGACTCTGGCCGTGGAAGCCTACGATTTCAATTAATTCTAGTTTTCTATCCACTTCGATCACTTTTCCTTAGCATGTAGGTATGTCTAATGTCAAAATCCCTACTTATAATTACATTTTATTCTGTAAAATGTGTTTGTTGTGGAATAAATAGATAAATAAGTAATATTGAAATTTCAATGTCAATAACTAATATGGATATTAAATGATTCAATAATAAGAAAGAAGTGATTATTAAATATGGTTCACAAAATAGTATAAACCCCTCCCATTTATTTAGATAATTATTCAACATTGAACATTTTAATGATGTTATTTGAACTATATATGATTGTTGCCTTTATTCATTGAATAATGCCGTGATTATTATTACATTGTTGAAATAATAATCATGTGCCACTTAATATTTAGATACAAGGATGATATTTTTTCATTCACTACTTCAAACCAAATAATAATTTTTAGATACAGAAAATATTTATTTACAAAATGAATAATTAAAAGGAAATTTCATATTATTAGTAAGTGGGATTTCCAGTATACCTTAATATCATTATCCCAAATCTATCACGATAAAGAGAGTTTGCAGTTTGGACATCTGAAGTATTTTAAATAAAGCTTTAAAATAATGTTGCTAAAACTGCTAAAAAGATTTTTACAATTGCTTATTTGATTACATCAAATATATTTATTTGCATGCAAAAACTACTATTAGATAGATTGCTTTATTAATAATAGTAAAATTCTCCTGTAGAAATTATATTGGAAACATGCAGAATTTAACCTACACCTGAAATTAAACATATTGTGGTATATCCATATTAGAAATGACAGATGCTGAAATTCAGGATCAACATGTGATTTCTACAATGTGCAATTGCAGACTGTATTATAAACACAACAATTTCATCTAAAATTGATTTTGCCAAGTGGTCAGATGCAATTTGTTTGCCAGTTTTTTTGCCAGCGTTTCTTTTTCGTTACAGCTTCAACATGAGTCGAGGGATATCATGGATACTGCACAGTTACTTATTTTCATTCGAATGGTATTTCATGATTTCTCAACAAGAAAAGAGTTGCTAACAATGATATCCTTAAAAGTCAGAACATGTGGCATTGATTAATTCACAAAATTCAAACATTTTGTCGCTAAGATTAATTTACCTTTATTTAAGCTTGTTTCAATAACGACAGATGGGGCTCCGGCAATGATTGGTGTTAGTAATTGATTTATATCACTATGTCACAAAGATGAAGATTTCCTGGACTTCATTAATTACCACTGCCTTATTCATCAACAGGTCTTGACCAGTAAAAGTTTTAACACAAAAGAAGGGATGGATATTGTGTTTAAAATTGGTAATTCAAAATAAAAAAGACAATTCTCTGCAAAGACAGATGTTTGAGCAACAACTGGATGACAAAGAAGCAGATTTAATCTTACACACTAACGTAAGGTGGCTGAGTAGCAAGTTTTTTGCAAAGGTTTCGAGATTTGTTAAATGACATTATTAAATTTCTTGAAGAAAGGGGTGAAGATTATCAGCAATTACGTGACTTAGACTGGCAATGTGATTGGGCATTGCTAGCAGATTTCACTGGTAAACTGAGCACATTGAATCTCGAACTGCAAGGCAAGATAAAACATTATCAGAAATGATAAGTTCTATTGCATCATTCAAACTTCAAGCAGTATCTTTGATAGTTGATATTGTAAAGAAAAGGTTTCTAAGATTTATGAACATTAAAGATCACATAGAAAAACACCCTGCTTATATTTTCAATCCACAGAAGTATACAGCAGAAATTCAATCAGTGTTATCATGCTTTGAAATCCGTTTTAGAGACTTCAATAAAATTGACAAGTTGGTCTAATTTATCAATTATCCATTCAATGACACTATTCATGACAACTTTGAAATATCCAAACAATTTGTAGAGATATCCTAAATGGACCAACTTTTTCCTTGAAAATGAAATAATTGCTATGCACTGCGATGTATTTTTGAAATCAAGGTCTGGTTCACATCTAGATTTCTGGCCATTGGTGTGAAATGAAAAATATATAAATTTAAAAAAATGTGCAACAACTGCAGTCATGTTTTGGTTTAACCTATTTATGTGCATCAGCATTTTTATATTGAAAACAAACAAAGAGTAAACAGCATTGCCGCTTGACTAATGCTCAAAAGTTGGATTCTTTAAGGTTGGCCATTTCCAACTTTAGGCCAGACTTTAAGAACCTAGCAAAAACTGTTCAAACGCAAGTCTCACACAAGAATTGCTTCTTTTGTTTTATTTACGTGTGATTAATACACACTGGCAAGCAATAATACTAATCAATCCAGAATTATTGTATTCAAAGCCGAATCAGTTTTATTTGCTTAACACTTTACATTCAAAATTCTTTTAGATCTCGAAAGCTGATAAAATAGTCTTTCAGAATCAGTGATTGCTTTTCTGAGATATAGTGAGCGACTCACGAGATATCCAGCTCACTTTTCATGTTAAATTACTGGATTAAGAGTTTTATTTCTCGCCAGTATAATTAAAAATTCCTAGTGGGTAAATCGCAAAGAATTAGAAAGGCAAAAAGTAGATCTTGAGTCTGATTAAGTTGGCCACCCCTGACAAAATACAAATGGTGTATTTGATATGGGTGTTATACCACAGAAAAGTAGGAAAACATAAGAGGCAGAGAGAGGCCATCAATATATTATTGAGTCAGAATCCTTTTTAAGAAAATGACTACCAAAAGATGAAAACTTAAGGAAGTCAATGATGTCATTTCTTTTAGTAAAATTTTAACACTGACAAAATAGCTTTAGCAAGACAAACTAAATAAAAAATGTGACAATTAGGCCATAAACTCCAAATGTAGACCACAAATTTCACTAGTAAATAACTTTATACAACAAATACCAATTATCAAAATTCTTACCCTTTTGGCAATAAATTAAATAAGTTTTGATTTTCAGCATTCTACTTCATCTATGGAAAATAGTTATTTCAATAAAAACCTTTTAAAGTTCCAACTTATTTCTGGTCTTTAAAGTGAAATATTGGCAATATTAAATTTGATCTCAAACTATGAAATAACCATGAAAAAACTTAACACCAACAATACATTTTTGTTTTCAATTGCATTATTTAAGTATGCTTTGATGAAAAAGGGTAAGTAAATATTGGTTTTAGACAAAATAATGTAAAAAAGTAGAGCTAGGAACTTAATGGTTCAATAAATAATTCAACAGTAATCAATATAGAACACTAAATGACTTGGGTATAAGTTTATTTATACATCTCACATTTAAAATACCAATGAGCCAATAAGAAACCTTAGTAGGTATCATATTCAAAATTGAATTACTACTACATGACACATCACATAAAATTGTAAGTAAACTTTGTTAACACTCAATTAAATCCTTGTTAGTCCACAAACAAGAAAAAAAGATGACATGATAGGAAAATTCAATAAAAATACTATGAGATTTTTGTTTTATTTGCTTCTCTCAAGAAAATTAACTTAAAAATATTTTAAGGTTACTTCCAAGAATTTTTCTAGAATATTATAATTTAATTATGCTTATTATCATCAGATTTAACCAGATTTGGTAATGTTTAGTTTAAGAATGTAAAAATATGATTAAAAATTTAAAACATCTAAAAATAAATTTTGAAATTATAGAATCATCATGGGAAAAACCATATTTGGATAAATAAATAATATATAAAAGTACTTACAAAATGAGACCTAGGAAAAGACATCTTAAAAATTCAATTCAATTTCACAAAATAAAAGAGTAAAAAAGTACACTTTCAATCTGACTATTTTCGCTACAGAATCATCTGGAAGCTTCCTATATATAACAGTTTACACAATGCTCTGGAATAACCACACCGTCTAAAAATATTTTCCATCCAAGTTCAAGTTAAAATTGCACAGCATTATGAAAGTATGTCTTTACTTATTTCATCTAACTGAGGAACAAGATTTAATGAAAACATTACAAAAACAGCAAAAATATTTTAAATAAAACTGGTTTCATTTTGGAAGAATTCACCTTAAGTTACGTAATATGGATAAAAAAACGTCTAAAGCCTTATTAAAATGTTTAAAAAATAAAAAAAACTAGTATACTAACCCACTTTTTTCACTTAAGAAACAAGACATATCAACCGACAACTGACAGTGACAAACGTCACTTTTTTCACTTTGCAAATTTAAGTGCAAATTTTCTTCTCTTCGCTATGGTTTCATTTTCACTTGACGTATTTTACTATACATCTACAAAACCATCGGCACTTTTAAATAACCATAACCATTTAAATGTATGATAAATTATTTAAAATACTATTCGTAAAAGAGTTTGAAACTATATAAATTACTATCTATCTTAAACAATAGTTGACACTAAAGACAAAAGATAAGTTGTGTTATGTAACTGTCACTGTCAAATTCTTAAATCAGCATCCTAGATATTGGAGTTCATTTATTTTTTTTAAAATGTGGTTCGAAGTTTTACCAGGTTTTGGAATTATTGTGGCGGCAATGGCACTTCCTCATGTTTCTGCATATGTTATTAACAATTTAGTTGTAGGCAACAAATACCGACGTAGTGTTCTCACTATTGAAGAAAGGTTACAATATTTGAGGGACAGGAGGCTTACTGGACATCCTTATAAAGTTCAAGGATTGGAAGCAATACCAGATGCTTAAATAAACATTAGCTTAAAGTTAGCAAGGTAATTGAAAGAATTTGAAGACTGTACATTTTTACAATATAGAAACTTATGGAGTACATTTTAACCATACCAAAAATTATTTTTTATTTAATTTTATATTATTTGTTCTATTAAAAAAAAAAACAGTAATTTATAAATACTCCTTGTATTTTGCAGGCTGAAATAAATAAGAAGACTTCAGCACAGAAACTATGTAGAATATACAGGCTAGATGTACAACTTTGTTTATTTCTTAATATATTTATTACTGAAACTGTTTTAGGCTTTCATTTTCATTAATTACATTGGGTTCTAAAATACTTATTGAAGTTTTATGTACAAAAGTTTGTTGATGTGCAAATATCCTAAATAGCTTATATGACATTACATCATCTTTGGCAAAACTAAACTAAGTAACTTTAATGTGAGCACCAGTGCATAAAAGAATTGGTGTTAATGAGATCGTTAATAGCAATCAAAGTGTGACCAGAACAACACTAAAATATTAGTATTTTAGTGTTGTTTTAGGGTTCATTGTCTGGGGCTGCAGGGTAATTGTTGGAAAATGCTACAAGTTCTGGATAGATCTTTTTAGAACCTGACCAGATAACAAATATCACTACGAAGCCTATAATCTTTCTTTCTTAGAAACCTAGATTTGTTTGACTAAATATAGATGTAAGGTATACAGAAAAGATTTTTCAGGTCTCAGTATGGAAACATCTGAGGCCAATCAACCCCTTTAAAATCTATAATTTTACTGAAAAGTTCACAGAACTTAAAAAAATTAATACAAAAAACCACTAACTATACTTTCTCTGTATGCAGGGGATATTAAGACCACACAAAATTAGGATGGAGGGCAATGTTTAGGATGCAGATATTTAAGATATATTCTTTTATAGCCCTTATACTGTATACAAGGTGTTCTAGGTCATTATAGTTTTTCCTGATTATGAACTGTAAGGAAATGTGAACAAACATTTGTTTACTGCATATGATCAAGGCATTTTCTTGGCAATAAAGAATTTAACTAGCTTTAGGCAGCTAATCCACCACTTTTTCATCACAGATAGTTCCAAGCATTTCTGTCAGATCTAGTCACAGATCATGAAGACATTGTGTACTTCAGTTTCATTTGTTGCTCTCTGAAATAAGATTTATCTCGAAAGCAAAGGCCAAGAAATTAATTTAAATGATGGGCGGTATCTGGCTTTACTGGTTGATATAACTAAGGTTGATATCTCTCTAATATAAACCTAAAACTCTGAGGAAAAGATCAACTATGTTTGCAGATGTATGAATATGTTCAAGCTTTCACTAAGAAGCTCATATTATGGGAGAAACAGTTGGAACAAAAGCAGTTAGTCCATTGGGGCACCTTATCTTCCAGAAATCAAGAGACATTGGACTTAACCAAGTATGTGTCATTGTTGCAAAGATTAAGGCATGAGTTTGATGAGAGATTCATAGACTTCAAATCATAAATGCCCAACATGAAAGTCTTCTAAAATCCATTTGATGTTGAAATTGAAAGCATCGACCAAATCTACAATTAGAATTTATCAAAATAAAAAGCAACTCTCCTCTAAAACCGGCATACAAGGATTGCCTTCCAAAGGAAATGATTTAATTTTACAAAAAGTATTTTAGCCCCAACCAGTGAAAAGATGCCAGTCCTCTCATTAGGTTTTAACTAAGCTAAGTGAAATAATTTGTAAACCTAATGTTTTTCTTTTTTAATAAATCATCTGTAATGGAAATTAACATTGTATTTTATTTTTATTATATTTTAATAGCTGAGAGAGTGCTTATATATTCTTTCACTACAGTACATTCAACCAACTTACACCTCTAAACGATTAAAGAATTCGCAGAAAACCTTTCCTTGTAGTAAAAGGTAAATTTTTGGTATAAAATAAATATGGGTCATTTACCCATTGTTCATAGTTTTGCATATTTTGTTACATTTTTTAATAGTATTCCTGCATAATGTTATTTAACGTAAATTTCTTTCACCTACTTGTTTAATATTTTTTTTTAAGGATAATTTATATTCAAAGTAAATATTTTAATTTTTGTTAAAAAATACTACTAACATTTTGTCAATTTAAATAGTGGTGGTTAGATTGACCATCTTTCTGTTAGAGTTTACTGTTTTTGAGACGTCTGCAATTACGGATTAAAGTTAGGGTTTTGTAAAATATATTTAACTTTTTATTTTTAAATGAAAATACTTGTACTAAAAATAAAATAATTGTGGGAAATTATTTTAATCATATAATCATTTTAATTTGTTTATGTACGGTTTCCAACCATTTCTGAAATATAATTAAATTACAATCGGCATTCCTAATGATCATTAGGCTAATTTGTTTAATATGTTTAAGATCTTTGTAAGTGGTTATATTTTACCTCTCAAGCACAACAGTTAGAAAGTTTCTGTCATATTGATCTAAACTCAGTATATTGTAATTCAAACGTGTAGTTTCTAGTGACCATCATGACTATAGACGTAAGTTGGACATTAATGAATTAATTGCAAATGTGCATAAATACTTTACCATGGAAAGAGAAAATGGTGGACCTTTAAAGTCATTATTATGTATAAATCAACGCGTTTGTTACGCACTCGGGATAAGTGGAAGTAAGCTAAAAACTGTAATGAAGACTTTCAGAGATTCTCAAGAAGATCTTACTGTGACTGAATATCACGAAGACAAGAAAACAACTCTTAAACATTCTAGAAGCTGACTTACCTGATGGAGAAAAATTTGAAATTCGCAATATTTTGTATCGAATGCTTGAAAACAATCAACATGTCAGTTTAGATACTTTACTGGCCAAAATAAGAGAAAGACAAGTTTCTGAAATTAAGAGGACCATCCTTTGGAAAGTGTTGGTTATGTTTAGGATTTAAATTCAAAAACTTTTATGCGAAAGGAGTAGTGTGGATCACAGAAGAATTAAATTTTTGAGAGAATATACTAGACTTAAATGTAAAAATGCAACATTAGTATACTTAGATAAGACATGGATATTTGCAAAGGGTGGAGTTAAAAGAATTTTACAATACGACAGCATAAAATTAATAAAACACACATATAGCGAAGGTAAAAGACACATTATTCTTCATGCAGGAGGGAAATAAGGCTTTATACAAAAAGCAGATTTGATTTTTTCTTCAAAATCAAAATCTGCTAATTACCATAAAAATATGAATGCAGAATAATGTTTGTTAACGGACATAGGAGAAACTATTACCTAATCTGAGTAAACCATCAGTTATAGTTTTAGATAATGGCAATTTAGATAAAATCCTTACCATTCGGGTATTTTGGAGAAACAACCAAAACAGTTGTGGAACGTACCGAGAATAAAAAATTGGTTAGTTAAAAATAATATCAATTTTCCGGAATACGCCTTTAAGGCTGTTTTAGCAGTTCAAGCACACTGCGATTTGAAATGGGCATATCACTTACTTTTCTACACTGCTTACGCGAGACTATCTTTACTCAGTGGCGTCGGCCAACGGGCAACAAATGCATTACTCTCCATTCAAATTAGTTTTAACACGAACTAACTGACCGTACGCTCATGAGATTTGAAGTCACGAAGGCGATAACGGTGAACCTTAGCGACAATGATGAGTAACACCTTTCACTATTAGATTTTAGTATTTTTTAGCAATTTTCTTCAAAGTTTGAACACGCTTTTCTCGATTATTAGATACTGGACACAGAAAGGCGAAAAAAAAAATCAACGATTACAGAAAAAAAACTTTTAAGCGATGGGCGTAAACAGTTTGGTTATAATAGAACGTTAAACAGTATAATCCAATTTTTCAACAGAAGTAACAAAAAGATAAAAAAAGTAAAACCATCATTTTAAAAGCAACGTAGTTTCAAATATTGTGTCCAAATTTCGAGACATTTTGTCGGTAAATAACAGTTCCTAGGTTTTGGTGCACGAATAAAACAGCCTTAAATCAGAGTTACAGAAAATTTCAAAGCGTAATGAAAAACCAACAGTTTATATAGTTGACCAAATTGTATCAAGTTATGGACATCAATTACTACGGTTACCGCCATATCACTGCCAGTTTAATTCCATCGAGCACATCTGGGGTATATATAAAACGTATTATGAATCACGTTGGATGTTGGATACAGTGACGATGCATTGCATAGCTTTGTGCCCTCCAAAATGAATTGGCAGGACCCTGGTCTACCTGGCCTTTCGGCATACGACCGTTAGCGCTCCCACTGCCCCTACGAGTCCGACACCAATTGGAGGTGGCACGATGCCGAATAACATCGTGGGGCTCCACCTCCCCCGTAGTACCTGTGATGCGGGTCACGCCACCCTTCCGTGAATCCTCCCCCCGGAGGCGAAAAGGCACGCAGGTGGTGGAATACCACCTCGCACGTAGACAGGTCACCGCCGAGGAATCGCTCCTCTACCACTCGTTAAATCATTCCGAGGTGTGGTACGTGCCGGGTCCGTGAAAATGAGAGTAGAGTGGTCCCACGAGGTGCTCGTCTCGGATACTAGGAATGTAGACCGGTGACTGAGATGACTAAGCATCTCTGTGCGTTTCTACCAACCCGACACCTCAAACGACGGCCCTCCACCTCTTATATCCGCCCATTAGTTGCCTCTTACGACAGGCAGGGTCTTCTGGCCCCGGCCGTATTCTTATCTCCTCGAGCCGGAAGGAGACAGTGACGATGCAGTAAGGAAAATGTGGCAAGAAGCTCTTAAAACAGCAACAGTAATTAGAGATTTAAATAATGATAGCGGCAGTGAATTTAGTGACGATGGTGATGATTTATAAATTTAAATAATCAGTAAGTACCTTCTTCTTCTAGTTCCATGACCGCTATCGATCGTTGATATCATGTTGGCTACCATATTCGCTATCGTGACTTTATTGACAGCAGCTCTAAATAACGATGTAGTTGATTTTCCATACCATTGCCTTAGATTTTTCAGCCATGATGTTCTTCTTCTACCAGGACCACGATTACCTTGGATCTTTCCCTGAATGATCAGATGTAAAAGATCATATTTTTCAGGGTGTCTCATAATATGACCGAAGTATTCCAGCTTGCGTTTCTTTATTATATTGACCAGTTGTGTTGTTTGGTTCAGCCGTCTAAGGACCTCCTCATTTGTAACTCTGTCGTAGTAAGTACCTACACTATTATAATGTTATTTACAAAATAAACAATAATATTTAAAATTCCATTTGAATTTTTGCTCCTCATTTTATACAAATTAACTCTAACTGATAATTCAGGCAAAAATATTCTAAACAAAGTATCTAATTAAAAAGATTATGGAGAACATTCGTGCAGTTTACCGTGAATTTTACTACAACGAAAGGTTTCCTGCGAATTCCCTTAACCGTTTAGAGGTGTACGTTGAGTCGTTGATTGAATGTACTGTGATAGGTATTTCTTTTGGCCCGCTACGGTTACAAAAATACTAAACCTAGCCCTCCACAAATTTATGTTGTACACCCCTGATCAACTCTTATGAGTGAGTTCTAGTTGATAATTTATTATCGTGCTGTAAACTTATAAATAAGTAAGTAACTAAATAGTTTTAAAAATATTAGAACCGCTCGTTTTATTTTACAAAAGCAATAAAATATTAAAACATTGACAGCTTTGAATTGTAAACGTAAACTCAGATTTGAGATTTGACAGTAAGCTGTCAGCAGTATTGGTAGATAAATCCATTTAAAATCCTGCTTTATTTTGACAGATTGAAAGGAGGAGTAAATGAAAAACAAAAACATTGCAAAATTTTAAAAATGTAATATTGATATATTATTGTGTTCATTTTATACGAACTTTAAAATTTAGGGGCTGTTAAGGGGTCTACGTAAGTTTAAGATAATTTAGTTAAGTATGTTATGAAATGTTGGATAATTTTAAAGAAATTGGGATACCCAAAAAATATTTAAGAAAAACCAATAAAGAAGATAGATTTTCTGCTGTTGTTAGTAAATTATGGATTAAGTAAGTAAAGCTGTTAAATACTTAATAATATATTACATGTTAAACGTTAACCATTGAACACAATTTATAAATGTAGAATCAATTCTGCTGAGTTAACTATACTAGTTGTAATACACATACACTCCAATAGGTTTACAATATGGTCTTTTTTAAAAATGGTAAATGTAGTTAAATATTCGGGGTTTTAAAACTGTATTGAACAAAATTAAAATACACTTATCAGCTATTTTAACCCTCTATTCTTAGGATTGAGGTTAATGTGATTTTATTAATTTGGTTACTGAAAAATAAATGATTTATTTTTATTTATATTTATAAATGATTATATTTGCGCAAAATCATTTATAAATTATGAATAAAGTTTTGTTTACAATTTGGTTATACCAATAATTTTAAGATGTTTCTGCCTCATTCTACCTATGGCTCAGTAGATATACTAGAGTAGAGTAGAGTAAATTTTTATTTGCATAAATTTTTAAACATAATTGAGCAAATAATGTCACATTATTAATTACATCCTTACATCTTACATCCCCTTTTCTCCAGGCATACCTTTTCCATCCTATCTGTGAGAAATGATTTTATCCATTTTAATGCCGGTCCCTGTATTCCATAAAGATGTAATTTTTGTAATATAAGAACATGATCTAGCTAGGCTATCTAAAGCCTTAGATAGGTCCAAAAAAGCACCCAGTGTTTTCATCTTTGCCTCCAGTTTTTCTAAAATTTTTGATATAAAATCATAGGTAGCTGTCTCAATAGATCTCTCTGCGAAAAAAACATACTGTGAACTACTAAATATGTTGTTTGTAGTAAAAAAGTTTTGTAGTCTGAAATATATTGCTTTTTCAAATATTTTTGAGAATGATGGAAGAAGGCTTATTGGTCTATTGTTCTCCATCTTAGTAACATCACCTTTTTTATTTAGTTGCTTGACAATTGCCAGTTTTAAATTTTGAGGAAATTTACCTTGCCTGAAAGAAGCATTAACTATAAAAGAAAGAGGGAGAAAAATCTCTGATGAACATATTTAATTAAGTTGGTTGATATTTCATCATAACCAGAGCTATGCTTGTTTTTTAAGTTATTTATTATGTGACTTATATCTTTCTCTGAAATGGGAGTTAAAAACATGCAATGATTAGTTTGTTCGATATTAATTTGAAAATTTTTTACATGCTTTATTTTCTTTACAGCTTCTGCCGCTGCATTTGCCATAAATTGATTTATTTCGTTAGAAAGCACCAGAGGGCCACCCTCCAAACAGAAATTACCTTGATTTTTGGAATTACCCTTAATCTCTTTTATCAATTGCCAAGCCATTTTAGTTTTATTTTCGCTATTTTCAATTCATTCTTTATAGCAATTTTTTCGAGATTGAGTGAGTAAAGAATTGTATTTGCGTTTTTCTGTCCTCTAAATATCTTTATAATCAACATCATTGGTAGACAGTGTAAACAAAACATCAAGCCTAGATTTAAAACATTTTCTATTAGGGTCAATCTCACGAGTTGCCATTTTTTGTGTACCCTAAGGTTTGAGAACTATTAGAATGCTACAACTTGCTTTGAGTACATGTCAATTAATTTAAAGATCCATTAACTGTTTATTAATAAAGTAATTTTTAAGAATAATTTTGTGATTTTTCTAATAAATGTCTTAAAAGTTCAGAATTCTCAACACCATGAAGCGTACCATCTTAATTTGTATTGGCTTATGGTCAATTTTTATCGTAAATATATACAACAATAGATTTCTGTATTCAAATTCTATATCACTAAAATTCTATCATCCTCAACCCCCAAAAATATATTTTTTAAAAATATTTTCAGTGCTTAAAATTTTTTAATTTCCACCCGTACCCTAATATAACCTAAACTCCGTGATTCCATCTTAAAAACCTTGTAACGTTAAAAATTTTACTTTTATGACCTTGAAACTATCGTAACGAATGTAACGGAATCTTACTATATGGCGAGCAAAGCCACGTGTGCCAGTGTTAAACGAGCCGTTGGTGACAGAACACGTTCTGTTGACGATTGCAGTTGGTTATTTATTAGTCTCAACACCGTGAGTAGAAAAAACGCAGGTAAATACTATAGTTTATTTTTTCCATTTTTGATCTAAATACCTATATTAGTTCAGAATGTTAGATTCTATTAGATTTTAGAAATTTATAGCTTTTCACTTTATCTCTTATCATCAATATTTGACAAAAATCTGCACTCCGTGAAGCTCAACACCGTGAATTAGTTACTTCACGGTGTTGAGGTATCATTCACGGAGTTGAAATAAATCTCAATTAAACATTAATATTTTTTGCTAATAATATTATTTTGGTGTATTTATTTATTATGTTGCATATGACACAAAATTTACGATAATTGCTGACATTTACTCAATTCTTTTTCAGATTTAATATGGTGTCAAAAGATGCAAATCAAAAGCGAAGACAACGAGAAGCCATGAGGAGGTTGCGCGAAGCAAGAAAAAAGATCCCGAGCTATATGAAGAAGAAAAGCAAATAGAAAGAGAGCGATGGAAAAGACGTAAAGAACAAGGAAAAATTAAAAATATAGACTAAATGACAGATAGAGAAAAAAGAAAACAACGTAAAAAGTGGAGAGGAAGCAGCAAACAAAATTACGATAAATCAAAGCAAGCCAAGAACCTGTTAATAAAATTATCTGAAGAAAGTCCTCCCCCGAGTCCTGTTCCAGAGCAGTTGCTTGATTAAGCAGGTCCTTCAAATCAAAATGAAGATGGCAGAGTTCGAGAAGGGCGGCTAAGAAAACGAAGAAAGTTATAGAAATTAAATAAGGAAATATTAAGTTTGAAAATGCGATTAAAGATTGAAGAGAATAAGAAACTGAAATACAAACAAAAAGTAAAGCGACTAAAATCGAAGTATGAAAACACAAAGCCCACTCCTATAAGAAATGTAGAAAATTTGTTGGAAAAGCAAAAAGTTAGCCCTGCAGTTAAAAGAAGACTAGTATTTGGAGAGGTCCTAAAAAAACAATTAACAGAAAACTATAAGGAAAAAAGTACGTTTAAAGAAAAACGTTTGTTTTGGAATAATGTGTTTGGGCAAAAGTAACAAAATTTAAAAAAAAAGTCAGCTACAACAAGAAGTATCGTGCTTTGTTAGAAATAAAATTGGAAATAAGAAGAGAATAGAAAAGCTTAATAAAATAAGACATCTTGTCCGCTCATTTCTTGAAAATGATGAATGTAGTAAATTGTGTCCTGGTAAATTTGATTATGTACGACGTAACAAAATCAAAAAACAAAAAAGAGTATTAAACGACACACTGAAAAATTACCATAAGATATTTTTAAGCAAACACAACATCAAAATATCCTATGCAACTTTTTGCAGATGTCGACCATTTTGGATCGTACAACCGTCTGTTGCTAAACGTGACACATGTTTGTGCATTTTACATACTAATTTTACCTTGATTGTCAGAAAATTAAAGATTCTTGGCATGATTTCTGAAAATACTCCTCAAGAAGTTTACAAAGGTATAAGTTGTCCTGGAAACACAGTTGATGAAAAGTGCCTGGAACGCTCCTGTTTGAAATGCAAAGAATTGTCTGTTCAAATAAAATTAAATGATTTAGAAACTAAAGATACAATAGTGTATGAAAAGTGGGTAACGAGAAAGGTTGAACTTGTTATCAAAGGGCAATCGAAGATTTGCAACAAAACTGTAAAGGAAAAATTTAGGACAACTAAGAATGAACTGGCAAATCTTTTTCATCAAGAACTTAAACCTTTTTTAGTCCACATCAGAAACATTATTCATCAACACAGAACAATAAAAGCTATTAAAACAAATTTACGGTCTTACGAAGTTTTAATACATTTAGATTTTTCTGAGAATTACAATTGCAATACAATGAAGAAGTACAATCCGCTCATTTCGGGGGATCAAAGCCCCAACTTTCACTCCACACAGTAGTTACTTACTATTTAAATGAAGATAGCAGGTTAGCTAAAACAAGTCTTTGTACAATATCCGACAATTTACGTCATGATCCCATTGCTATTATGGGTCATTAATGCCTGGTTGCACCAACATATCTTAAGCTTAAGACGTGCCTTAGGTAGGCCTCAGCTCAGACTGATCGACCGACCACGACCAAACCGTCCGACGGCGATCAACCAAATTTTGTATTTTTATTTTTAAGAATATAAAGAATATTTTAGAATCGAAAATGATGGTGCAACGTAAGTGAGAGTTAAGACAGCCCTAGCTATAAGCAGAGCTTGGCTAAGCTGGAGCTTAAGATCTATTGGTGCAACCGGGCATTAAAGCCTGTGATTAACGAATTAAAAACCAAATTAAAGAGAATTAATTCAGTCCATTTTCTAAGCGATGGTCCGACCACTCAGTATCGCAACAGGAAAATGATGGGGCTCGTAGCAGCATATTTGCCAAAATTGCTGGATTTTGAGGTAATAAGATGCCACTTTAGTGAAAAGTGTCACGGTAAGGGTGCGCCTGACGGAGTTGCACGTTGCCTAAAACGAACAGCCGCTTCAATTGTGGCAAGTGGAATTGACATTCCGGATTTTAACTCATTTTTAAACCATGTGTCTGAAAGATGTAAGGGAATCAGGATTTTTGGATTAACCCTTAATAATTTGGACTCCATAGAAGCATGTTTGCCAGAGGTATTGCCAACATTTAAAGGGTTAATGCAAGCTCATGAATACATTTGGGACAAGACAAAGAATTTCATGGAAGTCCGAAAGTTATCTTGTTTAGATTGCAGAAATTCATGCCTTCACTTCAAAATAGGAATTTGTAATATTGGAGAATTACAAGTACACAGACTAAAATATTCAGATGTTTATTCTAGCAGCAGTTCCAGTGATGGTGAAAGCCACGAAGAAACTCTTTTAGTAAAGGAAAACAAGATTACAATAAATGATTATGTTCTTGTTCAAGTTAGGGGTAAAAAAACAATAAAAAAATTCGTAGCAATAG